TTTAGTCTGTATAAAGATTTTAATCATCTCGTATCATATCAACGTGCTGTGGTGACAGCAACATTGCCCGCGACCACGGCTTGCACAAGGTCTGTTTCCTCGGCACATGCTTGGGATGGTAACGTTAATGGCATCTAAGATAAGAGCATTGGAAACCTCGGAAAAGCTATACATGGTGCGTACACTTGGGTGTTGCTGGCGTGCTCTTGGAGGAGGCGCACGATAGCCGCGTGCCCACGCTGCGTGGCCATCGCAAGGGCCGTGTTGCCGTCCTAATTAGCAAGATAAAGCTTGGTACTAGAAACAACGCAAACTCGTACAGCATCGGTGGCTTGGAGGTTGGGATGATGACGCAGCAAGACCCGAACCACATCAATGTGCCCAAACTGGGTGGCCAGTAGAAGCGGCGTTGAACCCGCCTAGCACGAAATTAAGAATATTCTTGCAGATATAGTAGCCAGTACCAAGATTTTTTGGCCTTTAGCGTTGAAGCCGACTTGAAGACTCAGGTTAATGTCCGCGCCAGCGTCGAGAAGACATTGCACAATATCGAGATGGCCGTGTCGGGCCGCCGACAAAAGTGGGGTATCTCCATCCTACCGTTTAACCCATTAATACAAAAGTTGAAACTTCCGTCAGTGCAGAGTACGTCGAAAGCTAGATCTACAGTGGCGTTGGCGCCGAGAAGCGCCTTGACGACAGCGTCATGACCGTACTGAGCAGCAACGAACAGCGGCGTGGCTGCATCCTACATCATCAACGACACTTGAGCCCGACCTGGAGAAAGCATGACGAACTTACGTCGAAAGCTTGATCCACATCTGCGTTGGCCCAGAGGAGCGTCTTGACGATGTCATTATGGCCTTTCTCTGCGGCAGCGTACAGCGGCGTCGCTCCAGTCTACATCATCAGCGATATTTGAGCCACAACTGGAGAGCACCCGGCAAAAGAAGAGAACGTACGTCCAAAGCTAGATTCACCGTAGCGTTGGCGCCGAGGAGCGTCTTGACGACATCGTCATGACCATACTGAGCAGCAACAAACAACGGTGTCGCTCCAGTCTACATCATCAACGACATTTGAGCCAAATTTCAAGAGCGCAACGCGCCAATGGGGAGACCGTACGTCTCTAGCTTGGTCCACAGTAGCGTCGGCGCTCAGGAGCGCCTTGACGACGGCATCATGACCGTACTGAGCAGCAACAAACAGCGGCGTCGCTCCAGTCTGCATCATCAGCGATATTTGAGCCACAACTGGAGAGAGCAACGGGCAAGAGAAGATACCGTACTTGCAAAGCTAGATTCACTGTAGCGTTGGCGCCAAGAAGCGTCAAGACGACAGCGCCGTGTCCGTTCTGCGCAGCAACAAACAGCGGCGTCGCTCCATCCTACGCAAAACGACTTATCGATTTGCCATTGAGCGTGGCTGACGCACCTCGTTGGTAAAGTTGACGTCGGCGCCTTCCTTGAGCAGGCGCTGGACGTCGTTGATGTCACCGTAGAACGCAGCACTAAATAGCTCAGCGCCCTACACCACTCATTGTACACAGCAACGAGCGCCGATGCCGTACCAATGGTCGTGATCTAACGAGGGACGCCATGGTTCGATCGCTCAAATCCGTCAATGCGACCGACTTGACATTGGCATGTCATTCCTCGAGCATACAAACTACAAGCTAAACAACCCCATCTGGTGTTTGTGTTTAATACTGTTTAATACTGTTTTATACAGGCGAGCACATCTGGATACCAGTTCTGACAGCACCGCTTGTCCAACGACCTGCCAGGGTCGCTGGAAGCAACGACATGTCATTATCAGAGCATCTCCAACGCGCCACCGCTATAGCTATAGCTAAACGCGTTATAACCGACCTTTCTCATATTTTAGCGGTGTGCTAAACGATGTGCTCCAATGGGAGTTGAATCTATAGCTATCGCTATCGCTACGGATTGGCTGACAGCGCCCACCAGGCCGCTTAGAGCGGGAGTGAAAAACGCAGCGCACGGAAGAGAACGCTCGGCGCATGATCGAGAGAAGCGAAGGCCGCTCGGAGGAGCGTGGCTGAAAGAGTGAGGACTGGAAGAGCAGGCAGGAGAAGCGCGGGCGCCGGAAGGGGCAAAGAGTGCTGGCGCTGCCGATGGACGACGACATCCACCTACGTATACATGTATGCGCAGCGCTAGGCCTAGAGTGTTGGCAAGCAACATCCAAGCTACGCGCGACCACGGCGGATTGAGGCTTAGATGTTGAGTATCGACGACCGACGAAGGGCTCACATGGGCCAGCGCCCGTGCAAGTCGCCTGTTCTCGTCCTCGGACCGCCTCTGCCCGTGCGCGCGCCCATGACCCATGCTTCATCCTCGCGGGAAACTGCCACGGGACGTTTCGATTGGCTGTTACCTTTTCTGCCTCGTCTACGCTCTATAGCGGCAGCATAACTTCACCGCTATAGAGGCCTCCTATAGCGGCAGAGCTCGATTTTTTAGCGATAGCCATAACTATAGCGGTGCGTTGGACCACATTTTCACCGCTATAACACCATGCGACATGCAATAACAAGCGTGACAGTTATAGATTAGCTATAGCGGCGCCGCGTTGGAGATGCTCTCAAGCAGCAAGCTGCTCCACCATTCAACATTGACGATCATGGTTAAAGTTATAATTAAAAGCTTGCTAGGTTGGCAACATAACAAAAGTAATTCAGTTTTACATTTGCCACCACCACCAAGAACGGCCTGCGTGGCATTTTCAACGTTCAAAATGCCACACGTCGCTACTTGACGCGGAGAAGACGTCGGATCGAGATTGTTTCGGTGTACTGCTGCGCGGGATCACACGATCCTGGTCTCTATTGTCGACACCAATGAAAACTGCCCTACTTGGTACGATGAGCGATGCCAATAAGCCTTCGGGTCCCATGGCACCAAGTATGTATGGTGCATTAGGATCAGCTGGCCGGACGTAAAATGAAATGACAAAGACGCTATGGACACTGAAGCTCACGCCGCGTTGGTCGCAAGATCAAAGCGACGGGAGAGGATACGCAGCTTCTCAGCGTCGTCCAAAAGCTCCTCGCCGCACTCGGGATCGATACACGTCGGC